ACTAAGTAGCTGCCGCCATTGTTGGAATTCAACTTTTGCGAGATCTCGCAAAAGTCCGTCTTAATGTTTTTTTTCTCCCATGTCCCCTGCGGGGCTTCGTATTTTCCCAATGGATTAATAAAGTTTTATTTAATCTAATCTAATAACTTTGATCTAAACCGATTTACTCCGGAACAAATAAAACAAACAATTACATTTTAGTTATCTGAGTGACTTATATATCACGTTTAACCTGAGCAGCGAAAGACAGCAGGCGTCTGAAAACAATGAAGCCAGGAGTCCACTGCTCTCGCCGGCTCGAGTGACCATTGAAGCCCCCGGCTCGCTATCGAGCAATACAATATTATTAATTATTTTATTTAATGCCCCTTAAAGGTTTTAAATAACTTCACAGGGTAAATCACATGACCTCAGGTCAGTTTACCTTCAACTTTAATTCAAGTTCAAGCATTTCTTATCACAGCAACACCCAATGAAACATTTCCCGCGAGTGTTCGAGTGCAGAGTAATAAATAAAAGGTGTGATGTGCTGGACAGGACAAACAGCTCAGCATGCAAACCAGGAACCAATCAGCTTCTGTGCACGCTGCAAAGCACCGGCTCTCATAAAGCACGCGGGGTGATATCAGCCGTGCAACGCCAACGTTTACAGGAACAAAATCATGTGACGTGGAAACTGCCCGCGCTCCTCAGCAGGCGGTTTCACATTGAACAGGAGGCGACGGCTTCTCGAGTGCAACACCCGAGCAGAGGTGCCGAAGCAAACCTGCGCACATCGACACTTCCTGCGTGAGCAGGAAACCACCTCGCCGTCAGAGACGCCGAGCTCAGGGTGCCCACAGGCAGGAGGGTAAACAGGAAGCAAGCAACTCTTGAAAAAGCAGGAAGTAAAGGAGGAACAGAAGCTGGTTATCAGACTCTGAGGACAGTCGGTCACGATGCTGCGACACAAACTGCAGATTCATCGTGTTCGTTTATTTACAGCAGCAAATGTAATTTCCTCATAATGACCTTAAACGCTGTCACGTAGGAGGGAATCAGCTGATGTAAGAGCCCGACTGATGCTCCTCCACTGCTGAGGAGCATCAGTCTGCTGCTCGTCACTACGGCTGCATGCAGTTTGTCAGCTTCACCTCGTTTACCGATCATTCAGACTCAGGAGTGGTCGGACGATTGAGTGAAAGCAGCTGATACATCTGCCTTCATCAGTCTGCACTCAGTAAGTTTATATACGGACACGTGTGACGTGCTGCAACGTTACCCAAACGTCTTGCAGGTAAACAAAGCCGACCGGCTGCACTCGACTCGAGAGGAGACGATCAGACAGAAACAGTGTGAGAAGCACGAGGCAGAGGTCTGCTCGCCAGGTCAACACTTGAACAATCGAATCAGTGCTCCTCTTCCTCAGGTCTGCTGCCTGAATCCACAACAGAGATTAAACCGCTGCAGCTGTCATCACACATGCCCCGAGGTGTTTCCGGAAAGAACCGTGCTCATCATTCGCCGTCAGATTTAACAGAAGGGTTTTAAAGATCACGTCTCGGGTCCTTCTGAGGGCCGTCTGTCTGTGTGACGTTCAGGTGACTCACACAAAGCTGGACGCTGTCCTGCACGACCCCGTCAGAGGATGAGCTCCAGCTCGGCTCATTGGAGGTGAACGGCGTCAGTTTTTCATCAAATTTCACGTCATATTTGTGTGAAATTTCCCACACAGCCATCGAGCTGTAAACAGACAGCCTCCTAAAAACACCTCAGAGGAGGAGATCAAATTACACGTTTTCCTTTTTTCCTGGTCCCACATCAGGATGCACTTTGAGTTTTATGTAACAGCTCATATGTATGAACGAGGCCGTTGTGTTGTGCTGCTTGGAGGTTTTATGTGAACCAAATTATCCGTGATACGCTGCGGCGTGCGTTTCCAACGCTCGCTGCAGCGAACTCGACGTGTCGGCCTCTCGTTGGGACTCTCAGGGAAACTCGTATTTCTAGGAGACGGCTGCAAACATAAATCATCGCTCGCTTTCTGTTTTTTCCTCAATCATGTCCAAAACAAGCGCTCGCTCTCTCAGCTCCCCTGTGTGAGCATAATGAGGCTGTAATGAGAGGCCTCGGCCACATTCAGCACCTTTTAAAGGCAAGAGGAAAAACCCAGACACGCTGGAAGGCCGAGACGAGTGAAAAATGACAGAGCTCAACGGGAAGATGAAGAGAGGAAGACGAGAGGAATGAGGAAGAGCCGCGAGGGAAACGTTTCTTAAAACAATGAGAGAGCGATGGCAGGGAGAGGAAGAGCGAGGAGAGGAGCGCGTTCGTGAGGACGGAGCGTGGGAAGCGTGAGAGATGAGAAAACGTGACGGTGGTTTGAACTCGGATGCAGAAACCACAGAATGTTTGTCTGCAGGACGCCGTCCACGATGCGGTCGCCGCCTCGACCATTCTTTCCAGTCAGCTGTTTACACGCCGCGTGACTCGATACGCTCCGGTGTTTACAGGCGCCACCGCTCCTGATCCCACGTTCGGGTCAACAGATGATAGCTGCCGCCCAAACGGCCGTGCTGGGAGGAAGCCGCTCAGAAATGGGACGTTGCCCCGGGAGACGGAGAGTCGCTGTTAGCCCCACGGTTTGGGTTCAGTCAGGTTAGCCGTGCATTTGAGAATAATTAGTAAATCATGTGGACGGAGGTCACGCTGCGGCGCTGCTGCTGTGATTTGTTGTGTGTAAATAAATGGATTTGAACTTTGAACTTTGAGTCTCAAATGTTGGAGTTTTGATCTCTGAGGCAGAGAAAGAAGAACTCTGGAACATCTTCTAGTTCAGTTTGTGGCTAAAGCTCGGTGACCTGCTGCATCCTGAGAGGTGACGAAGCTGCACGTGTCTTCCTCACGCGCAGCGCTGAGCGGCTCAGGATGGCGGCGCTGTAACCTTTGTCTTTTGCACGGATTGCATTTTGTTTCTGCTCACAGAGTCTGCGCCTCCCATCTGGTCACCTCTTCCTCCGCCTGCTCCATCAACCCATCGACCTCATAACAGTTTACACGAGCGATGGCGAGCTCTGATGTGGTTGGTGGGCTGAATGTAAACGCTGCCTCTGCTCTGATTCGCTCTCTTCGCTCCTGCGTTCGTCTTTTTGTCTTTCCCTTCATGTCAAGTCCAAATTCTTTGTATCCTTATCCTCTTGCTGCTACTCCTAAACCTTTCCCTTCTCCGTCACCTCCTCCATCTCTGTCTCCTTCTCATAACCCCCTCTTCATCTATCTCCCCTCCTCCTCCTCAGCTTCCTGTCCCCCTTGGCTGCAGGCCAACAGCTCCATCCCCTCTTGTTCGCTTCGTTTTCTCCGTCCACCCCAGTGACACTTGTTTCAGCAGGTTTTTGACAAATCTCTGGACTTCAGGCATCAGGGGGGAAGAAGCGTTAATGAGTAAAAGAGAGTCGAAGCAGGAGGAGCGACGTCAGTCTGACAGCTGACGAGACAAAGAAGGAACGACGGAGACGAGCTGCTCTCAGATGCTCAGTCTTCCTCTTTCCAAGAGTTTCTGCACTGCATTGTTCTCAAACACACACACACACACACACACACACACACAGGACAGAGGTGTGAGGTATGCTGCAGACGTGCTGCACAGAGCGCTCCGGGTGGACGTTAGATTTAATCACCTGGTGGTCCCTCCCAATGGGGAATCACCTGATATCAGTCTGATTCTTACTCGGAAAAGTGGAGGAACCAGCGTGACCATGAGTGAGCTTCAGCCCAAAGAATTCAATGATAACAACGATCCAATAACAGTCCAGAGGAGTCATGTGACTGTCAGAGTGACCTGTGAGTGTGGACGAAAGCAGGAGTCAGGAGGGATTAACCAGGAGCTGCAGGTTTGTCCTCTGCAGAAGGTCGGAGAGACGAAACTGACAGACAGCTGATAAACCTGATGACAGAGTGTGTGTGTGTGTGTGTGTGTGTGTGTGTGTGCGTCTATGTGTGTGTGTGTGTGTGTGTGTGTGTGTGATGGCAGAGGATGAAAGCAGCAGTAAATTTTCTCTTTTACTTCAAAAGGATGTTTCACACTCCGATCGTACAGCCACACACACACCTGGCTGTGGCACACCTGGGCCAGTGATGGACGAAACACACACACACACACACACACACACAAAAACAAAGTCAGCAAATTCTGTCAGGACGAGTTTTTCTATTCAAACGTTCCTTTGAAAAGAACTAATTTTTCACTCAGCGGGACACATTCCTCGCTTAGGAGAAATGTGGAATGATTTCCCACAATGCAACAGGAATAACAGCAATAAGGCCGGTATGTCTGACATGCAGACGTCTATCTGAGCTCACAGGGTTTATTTAGTTGTCTCCGCTTGTGTTTGGGAGCGATGCCAACGAGAATAACCAACTTTAAAGTGTTCTTGGAAGCTACATTCAATCTTCTCTTCAAGCACCGGTGCCTTGCTCATGGGCACCACAGTGCTGTTGGTCAGACGGCTTTCCTATCCTGACTTTATCCTTCTGCACTGATCCGTTGGCCTTCAAAAAGCCATTTAACACATACAAACTGTGTCGTGCTTTTTTATAAACTGAAGGAAGAGAGCAAACTGAAACTGAACCTCAAAATCTGAGTGTGGACAAAGATAAGAAAAGCTGCAGTTCCTCTGACGTCCACCGGGGGCTCCAGCAGCGAGTCAGTCCCCATAGGCTGCCACGTTAAAACGTTACAGCAGAAATCAACATGTTCACAGCCTGATGCACAAACTGTTCTTAGGGTAACACCAGTATGCTAAGACAGACACTCGAGAAGAAGCTGTGCTATCAGATGCATTAGCATTAGCATTAGCATGCATTAGCATTAGCATGCATTAGCGTGGCTTCCTCTCTGATCATGATTCTGTTGGCTGCATGTTCTCACACGAGCAGCTGCAAACAGCTGGAGGAAATAAACGCATCGTTTCTAAAAGTCATGAGTCATTTTGGGCCGTCCTGCCTCCTCGGTCGGAAACGCTGCAGTGACGTGAATACTTTGGATGGTTGAAAGCTCTTACCTCCACGATGCTCTTCAGATCTCTGACGTAGGCTTGCTCCGTCTCCACGATCTCCAGGACCACTCGGTCCAGCCGTGAAAGCTGTCTGGGCGTGGCCACTGCCGCCGCCACCGCCACCCCTACCGGACTAGCAACATTACTGGGGTGGCCGCCTCCTCCTGTCACCTTGGCGACACATGCCCCTCCTCCTCCAGATGCTCCTCCTCCGCCTCCATGAGGTGTGAGGGGAGTGAGGTCCAGACTGATGTCTGAGCCGTTTCTTTTTGGCGTGGAGGACGACGACGAGGCGTTGTACGTCGGCACTGCGCCGTAAGGAAGTGAGGAGGATGAAGAGGATGAGGAGGAGTGGGAGGAGTCCTGCAGGGAGACTGACGAGGCAGAGGAGGAGAGGGAGAGGGAGGCGGGACGCTCTCCGTCCGAGCAGACGGTGTTGACGGAGGTGCAGGAGGACGACGCTCCTCGCTCTCCGGATGACATCATCCTACCCACAATCCCACTCAGAGATGAGACTGAGGAGGGACGTTTGGCAGCTGGAAAGAAAAGAAGAGAGAAAAATGCACAAATTAGTCCACGAGCGAGTTTTAAACAAAAAGAAGCCAACACGGAAGTTTAACAAGCTGCAGTTCCTCTAACGTCCACCAGAGGCTCCAACAGTCACAGTGTTTTTATAAGTTACAGCTTAAAGTTTTGCACTTTTAGGGGCGTGGCCTATTTGACTTACAGGTGGGTGTAGCTGCTAGCTGTCTGCTAACCAAGTTTAGCTGATAACACTCCAGTTCTCCCTTCTGGCTCCAAAAACCTGATATTGTGGCCATAAAACGAGACATCTTTTATTTACAGACTGTATTTTTAGCTAAAACACCCAAACAGAAACCGAACGTTTCCTCGTGTGTGTGATGAGGCGGGACAGTGACGCTTTGTCTGTGCAGAAGTGGGTCAGTGAACTCACCACACACTGGAACAGCTGACTGTGAGCGCACAACATCCAAAGTCAAACATAAGGCCTGGGGGCCAGAACTGGCCGGTTACAGCCTGTGTGACAGCTGATATAGGCCCCGCCCATTCACAAAGCAAAGTAATGAAATAATAGATCAACAGTTAAATGACAGAAAAGTTCTTTCACAGTTTACAACAACACCGTTTTTTACAGTGAGTCCACAGTAAAACGAAGCTTTTCTGTAATTTTACACGTTTCTTTTGTTTCGTTCAGCTCGGAGAGTCGCGCAGCGGCGTTTCTTTATCATGTGGAAAAACTGAAACGTGCTGTTGGAATTTCACTCCTTCTCATATTAGTACGTCTGAGGGATTAAACGTACACTTGACTTCTTTACACCGACAGAAAGGAGAGCTTCATGGTCCACTGAAGACCAAACTGTGCTGTATGAAGTCGTGACAACGTTTGACAGCTGAAAGGATGATTCAGCAAAGCTGGGCGAGTGTATGGTTAAGCCACGCCCACTTTTACACCTCAGTTATGTTGCGTTTTTTGTGGGTCAGCTGGTAAGGAATCATGAGGTGGTGTCAAGATGTAGCGTCTAGACCTTTGACCCATGTAAGGTGGACCTGTGGTTTACCCTGCACAGCCGGGCCACAGCCGGGCCACAGCCGGGCCACAGCCGGGCCACAGCTGGGCGTGGCTTCAGCCACAGCCATCCAGTCGTCTCCGCTGCTAGTTCACAGTTGAGTGATCTATCATCAGAAATCAATCAGGCTGAATCCTCGATGAACACGAGGCTCGTTTCCTCGTTCTGGTTTAGAGGAAGGATGCTGATGAGCTGCCTTCACACTAACACCAGTGGGTGTGTTTTTCTCCACAGTGGAAGATAAAAACCATCTGAACGCCTGCTCGGTTCTTCCATGTCCCAACACCTGCGGCCTCACCAGTGCCCACCATAAACTCCTCCCTCCTTCAAAACCCAAAGCAGCGCCTTACCTGCCCGTCCAACAGGTGAGCCCTCAGAAACACTTCCAGCGGTTGCCACGGTGACTTCCTGATCACTGTAAACCTGCCGTGTGACTTTCAGAGTAAACAGGAAGTGTGTGCGCAGCAGAGCGGATCATCACACTCTTCCTCTTTTTGTACACTCTTCCTTTTCATGAAAGACTTTCTCACGTGTTAAAGGAGCAGCCATCTTCACCGTGACTCCATCAGCAGCACGTCTTTATTTCCTGTTAAAAATCAGCCCCGTCACAGAGCGCGAAACCCAGACTGCTGATAAACACCTGGAGCCTCCTCAGCTCCTAAAGTCACACGAACACCGAGGCTCCACTGAGAGCGCCGAAGGTGACATACCATCATAAGATAAGGATGATCGTGGCATCGTCTCACTGAAGGATTTCTAAAAAAGTCACCTCTGCACAACAAAGACATGAAGCTACACAGCAGCGATGTGCGGAGGCTTACTGAAGCTGGACTGATTGGCGTGTAATGATGTGCGAGCTGGTGGCCGGCTGGCTACACG